AAAATTTTAAAAGTTTAAATTCAATTTTATTGTACTTCTCAAGAAACTCATCATTTTGACTATTTATTCATCATCTTCCTTGTTCATTTTTATCACAATTTTAGTACGACATTTCTTTTTAAAACTTAATCTTAATTAGATTATAAAAATATATAAATAAAGGTTGATAGTTCAATCTTGTTTAACTAAAATCAATAAAGCCTTTCAAATGAGAGAGAAAGTAGTAGAGCTTAATTAGAGTGGATGGAAAAGAAGAAGTCTGAGTACTGCAACTTTCTTTCTTTTAAGTACAATATCTTTTAAGTACAATATATAAGATGAAAATTCAAATACACAATTATTTAGTTGAAAATAGATACCTTTAACTATGCTCAAGTAGATAAGTTTGGTAATAAATTTCATGAAATTCAGAAGAGAAGATGAAGAATATGCATATGCAATGTGTGATGGAATATTGCATATAAAAAGGGTGAGGTTCTCAATGAACTGGAGTCTTTTTTTTTTGTTTTTTGGTGTTGACCGAAGAGAAACAGCTTTTCCAGGTTGGTGGGTTCAAGTGTAGCAAATCAAAATCATGTCATTGGCAGCCGACACATTCTTCAATAAATATTTACTCCAAAAGAATACAACCCCACAGCACAACTCAGATCATATGCATATGCTCACCCCAGTTTGATTCCTCTGCGTCCCTTTTCATTTCAAATATCTGATTTATGTTCTTTCTCTTCTGCGCAATTTCTTCGTTCGAGGAGCAAAATTCAAAGTTTTACATCTGTCGGCTTTCATGTGGGGGCCCTGTTTCTGGGTCTAATTTTGCCATCAAAATTGCTGAAAACTTTGAACTGCTACTTCTTCTTGAATAACGAAAAATAAAAAAAACCACTTCAGACGGCCATGAAATCTCAGGATGGAAGTTGTTTCAGCAGTTTTAAGACAGAAAGAGCTAGAGCTTGGAGGACTGATTGAAAATAACAAGAAAGCTGAGGATTGGATGTGAGTATTGAAACTAAAAGAGCAAAGGTGAGGTTTTGGACATTTATTGGAATTGTCAAATCAGAGAACAATTACTTTAATCCTAATCATGGACAGACATGATGATTTAGGGAGAAGTCTGCCTGTTAATATATTGTGATATAACTGTAAAGGACATGAATGACAAAATTTTAAAGAGAGAGAGAGAAGAAAAGGAAAAGGTAAAGTAAAACGTTTTCGAAGATCTCATTGACCATTTTTGTATGTGCCCTTTTGGCAATTATCATTTATCATCACAAACAGCTAATTGTCCCGTTAAAATCTGCCACAACCCAGAAACTCTCTGCTGTAACAGGAAAAATGGATCGTCTTCAGCTGCAATGGGTTGCTCTTACGCTCTCCATTATGACACTCTCTGAAGCTTGCCACCCCACAGATTGGAGAGCTCTAACCAGTTTCAAGTCTGGAATTTTCCTCGACACTTCTGGCAGGCTTTCGAAGTGGGTCGGCCGAAACTGTTGCGATTGGGAAGGAATTTCTTGTCACAATTCCACAGGCAGAGTCAAGGAAATCAATTTGCCAGGCTTTATATCCACTGGTGACCTCCCCTTTCAGTCTGAGATGAGAGGCTATCTTTCAGCTTCAATAACATTGCTCAATGCTGTTGAGATCATTGATCTTGGAGGGCTCGTTGGCCTCTGTGGAACGATCCCTTCATTTATCGGTGTGCGACTCCGCAACCTTCGGAAGCTCTATCTTTATGGCAACAAAATGAGAGGTCCACTCCCTGAAAGCATAGGTAAGCTTATGAAACTTGAAGAACTAGCTGTGCATGATAATAGGCTGTCTGGTTCCCTCCCTGCAAGTCTTGGCAGTCTTAAGTCTCTCCATAGCCTTCTTCTCTATGGAAATCGGTTTTCGGGTGCAATACCGGATTCATTTGTGAATCTTACTAACTTGGTTCAGATGGACTTACACAGCAACTCATTTAATGGTCACATACCTGAGAGAATTGGTCAGTTGCAGTCGTTGAAAGAGCTTGATCTTTCAGACAACTTCTTGAGYGGGAAAATTCCCCTTTCTTTTACTAATTTGACAGCCCTTTCGGTTTTGTATTTGGATAATAACAATCTAGAAGGAGCAATTCCATTTGGATCAGTTACTGGCCAGATCCCTTCTCTTGCTTTTCTTAGACTGAATGGTAACTGTTTAAGTGGCAAAATACCTTCCAGTTTTGGAGAGCTAGTGTTTCTCAAAAGAGCTTCACTTTCAAACAACAAACTTGAGGGCACAATTCCATCTTCTTTAGGAAATTTATCATCTTTGGCAGAGTTGTATCTCGACAGCAACCGATTATCCGGCCGAATACCGGAATCATTTGGGCAACTTTCTCAGCTCATTCTCCTGAATCTCTCTCACAATTCCATAAAAGGGCCATTGCCTGAGATGTCTTCTCTCCAGAATATTCAATCCATTGATCTTTCTTTCAACCTTCTGAACCTGTCCTCCATTCCCCATTGGATGGCAGAACTGCGCTCTCTTTCTAAAATATATCTTGCAGGGTGCGGAATCCATGGCCAGATTCCAGAGTTCTTGCGAACAACTCCAAGTCCAATACAGGAACTGGATCTTTCCGCTAACCATCTTACTGGGAGAATTCCAGAATGGATTGGCAGCCTCGCTCGGCTCTATTCACTAAAACTATCAGAAAACTCACTGGTCTCCGTGATTCCCGATTCAGTTACAAATTTACAGGACTTGGGTGTGCTCGATCTCCATTCGAACAAGTTAACGGGCAACATACGACAGGTTTTCAAGATAGGACACAGATTTCCAGATGGTTCTTTAACATACATTGATCTTTCAGACAATAGCTTCTCTGGGGACTTTGATCAAACAGATGTCGGGCAGCAACGTGCGATCCATTTTCTCAACTTGTCGCATAACAATCTGAAAGGTAGATTACCCACTTCAATCGGAACACTGACATCGATTCGAAGCCTGGATTTGAGCCGTAACAACTTGGGCTTCGATTTGCCAGAGGCCCTAGTGAATGCAAACCTATTAGAGACGCTGAAGCTGCAAAGAAACCATTTTACAGGAAAAATACCGAAAGAGTTTCTGAAGCTGCGCAGGTTGAAGGAACTGGATTTGTCAGATAATTTGTTAGTGGGAGAAATTCCAGCGGGTAAGCCACTGAGTGATTTTCCCCGAAGCACTTATATGGGTAACAAAGGTTTGTGTGGAAAGCCCCTAAGCCCATGTAAGCTTTGAAGGAGGAGAAGATGAATTGAAATATATTATAGCCTAAACAGTGTTAAATTATCCATCTTTTTCAATCAAATAGATTTAACCCAAATGTCATATCTGATAAGGGAAGGGGGGAACATCTGCCAGTAGAAGTGGAGCAAAAAAAATTTCTCATTAAAATTTGCTTTTCTAGTGAACTTTCTGTGAATACAASGCCGTTGCACTTTACAGGGTCTCTTGACCCATACCCAACTGCTGGTAATTTACGTAATCAATTCCATTTAACCTAATGCAACATAAGAGCTCCTCTGGCAATTCTTCAGGTTTGTTCCCCTGTTTCATAACCCAACAAAAAGTAAGAAGAACTGGACAGTTTTCAAAAGTCAGCACCAAAAGAGACAAGACATGGTTAAAAGAAACTTGCCTGAATTGTGAGGCCAACATCCAAAATGCAGCACTTGAGTCTGTCAAGGAATGCTTCAAAGCCTTTCCTTGATATGTAACTAAATCTGTGCATATCCAAGTCAATTTCCAAGTAGTTTTCTCCCTGTAATTCACCAGTTTTTTTCCTATGAACCATTCTGTAATATGCAGCAAATTCTGTCTGTAATGAAATGAGAAACTTTACTTACCAAGTAAAATTCGTGTTGAGGACGTGAGAGGACAGGCTTTTCGTTGTAAGCCTGCATAAGCTTACGCTCTGCAGCGCTCATCGGAAGATCCTCCACGTTTGCAACTCGCCCCAAAATTTTCAACCTCTCCCTGAATGGTACTATTGTGTCTACTGGGAAACCTTTCACCCTTTCAACTTCATCATCAATCAGCTTCTGTTTTTGGAACCAGTAAACACAGTAAAAAAATGCCCGATATCACATCAAAGTATTGCAATAACAACAGAATTTTAATGCAGTGATTGTGAAACAAGTTATTGAAGAAATAGAAGGATTGAATGAGAATTTGCAAGTGCTGAATCTTACCCTGATATTTTCTTGAAAATGAGATGTAAGTTCCTTAGCGTATGCATCAGAAAGCTTGAAGTACAAAACTATACTTATCCCTTCTCCATCGGTTTCGCCTTGAAAAATTGCCGCAGGATACAAGGGGATCTGTTGAATCCAATAACAAGATCAAAGTTACAACTTACAACAGTCCAAGGCAATACAAGAAAGAATAGTACTCAAAGACATTGCAATATAGATGATTGTAAAAGAAGCAAAAGGGAAGACATCAAACTATCAAGCAGTTATGACCAACCAGATACATCATCACGTGCACAAGTAAGGCATGGATTTACCTGAACGTTAACAACAAGAATAGGTGGAAGTTTTCCAGAATAATTAGCCGCAGGCAGTTCGACAAATCGAGCGATGTGATCCACTTTYCGATGTGACAAGAACACATCAACTCCAAAGGGTTGGTAAGCAGCATGACTGGAAGCAAATTCCTTTTTCTTGTCCCTGCAAATTTGTACGATTATTTTGCGGAGTTAAAATGAAAGGATGAGATCATTAATTTTGGATTTGAGAGATCAAACAGTGAGCCAACTCGATAAACAAAGTCCATGTTGTAAAAATCATTGATGCAAATGGAATCATAGAAAGACTGTTCCTCTCTTACTTTGCATAGTTTACTCCCCGAACTTTGAAACTAGCAGGCTCAATATGTGACCAGCAATCAAGCATTTTCTTTCCAGCTGGGCAAAAAGGTACTTGAGAACCTGCCATAGGTCTTTGTAGAAGCGCTTTCGACGAAACTGAAAGAAACAGAAGAAGAATAACTAAATCAATCAAAATCAGAAGAAATCTAAAAGTTTATGTGGAAGAACCAAGGATGCAGTTAGCCTAAACAAGATCAGTAAGCCAGAATATGAAAAGCATACGCTTCTTGAACACTCACATAAAGCAGCATTRGAATTTCCTTCTTTCCATTTGAACGAAAGTTTCAAGGCCGCCTTTTTCAGCCCACTCGGAGGACTAGAACTTAGTGATTTTCTCTTTTCAACAGAGTTTATAGTTGATGCAAGACAAGGCAAACAATTACTTGGTAAAATCCCACAATTATCCAATATTCCATCCCCTTTGCCAGAACTTTCACCAGCAGTAGAGGAGATCTCGTCGATGAATACCGGTTCGTTGGCCTCACTCAAGTGTCCATGACCCTTGAATTGGGGTTCTGCATCATCTGAATTCATGGTCTGAGAATGTGAATCCCTTGATACCTGAATGCTGGAGCTGCTCACAGAATGTACTCTTGCTGAATTCCCTGGTCTATGAATCTGATCCGGGGTTGCACTATGTCGACTTGCATTATGATCTCCATGATTAGCATCTCCAGAAGATGAAACGCTCGATGTTGATGCACCTTCAATGCTCTGAATTGATTGTATGTCTGCAGGAATTCACAAGGTTGACAATGGTGGATTTGATTAAACAACAAACGGAAAATAAGAAAATTACCCATCAATACAACATTTGAAAAAAAACCAATACCATCAGGAATACTTTGGTAGTCTTCATCACAATCTGATTCAAATTTTGCAACCGTATCGAACCATGCCTCGTCGGAACTTCCTGCTGGTGCCACAAATGATACCAGACTCAGATAAAAAGCCAGAAATGGATTATAAAGTACTTGTTGTTCACAGCACTCAAAGACGAGTTCATTATCCCATTCTTTCAAACGTTTGTTGTAAATTCTTCCATGTTGTTGCTCTTGAGAGCAGATATTATGATATCATGATAAACAAGATCCCCGGCATGAAAATTTAAATTGAAAAAACAGAGCTCAGGATTGGCAAATTATGTATAAAAAAGTTGAGAATTTCGGACGTGCCAACTTGTTAGACAAGAGGCAAAGCTGGCTACATTGAACTGGCTCATTTCCTGAAGTTGGATTAAGTAGAAACAGTTGAATTCAATATTTTTAAGATGTAAAACAACAGGTTCTAAAAATATATGAATAATTTTTAAAAAAAATTATTATACAAATCGGACGAAGAAAACTCCTGAGACAAGTCAACCACATTCTGCTACATAATGACAGAATTCCAATTTTTTAAGAGAAAATGTAAGAGTAGGGAATCTTMTATGCTCTTTCTGGAAGAACTAAGATCTGGGAATCTGCAAATGACTTGCAGAAACTTTGAATATGGCGCAGCTGCCAAATATTAAAATGCTTGCTTTCTACTTTATCAATAAAAATTCGAAAGTGAGAAACCCAATTTCTCAATTGTACAAGCAACCCAAAAACTCAGACTAAGAGGAGAAAACAGAGAAATAAAGAAGTTGCCAGAAATGAACACAAAGGCAGAATGATTTAATTAATTATAATCGTAAAAAATCAGCTGAATAGCTTTGGAATGAAAATAAGTTGGTTCCATCAGATATTTTTTCTTTCCCTCATCAAACACCGCAGAAGACGTACATTTCACGCCAACATATGAAAAGAAAAACGGCATCAGAAAACTCAAACAGACAGACAGACAACCGGAAGAAAGGCAAAATAAAATTCTCTCCCACCAGAATTAAATGAATAAATAAATAAAGAAATGGGGAGATGGAACCTTGGAAAGTGGGATTGGAAAAGGAGCGGTGGTCAATTGGGTCGGACCGGTGCGATCCATCRGAGATTCCAGAAAACGCCCTGGTTTTGAGACCTCTCCGCCTCTTCCTCCGGTTCTTCTTCCTGGAAGATTTCTTGAATTTTCCTCCGACGCAGCCCTCCGGCGTGGACACGCAGGCACCCATAGAAAATCACGTAGGAAAAAAGAACATCCGAGACAGAGGAAGCTGCCTTTGGACACTGAGTTATGGAGAAGGAGAAAGTTAAAGGTAGAKATTGGAGAGTCCCTCCCTCCCTCGCTTGCTCCCTCCAAATCTCTGTGTGTCGGGAGACTGTCTTTTTGTGATTGAAAGTGTGTAAAATATAAGCGTAAGGAATGTGAATGGAGAGAAATAGGAGATGGAGATGGAGGGAAGATGAGAGCGTAAGAAGCAGAAGGCAGAAGCTCGGCTATGGAAAATGGAAAATGGAAATTGGGAATTGGAAATTGGAAGGTTTGAAGGAAGACCAATCGCGGGCGAGGGCGGGGCTGGTGAGATGGAGATGGGACCGACACCAGATGACAGGTGGCAGAAAATGATTTATGCAAACGTGTGGGAGTCTGCCATCTTCAAAGCTTTATGCCAAATGCGGCTGCCYTTGCCTTTGCCTTTGCCTTTCACATATATAAATATAAATAAAATATAAATATATAAACTTTAAAATTTCTCCCATTCACATTCACATATCCCTCTCCTTCCTTTCCTTTTCCCATCTAATTCTTCTTTTCTTCATTTTTCTTTTAACATAAATCTAAATAATTCTAACACTTTAGTTGACCAAATTCCAACCTCCATCTATGGTCGTTATGAATATAGTTTATTGAGTTAAAATATCATTTACTTTTTTAAAGTTGGAAATTCAAATCTCTCGTCATTTCGTTGAAATTGTAGGAAAAAAAATGAGCATTTCTCATTTATACCATAATATAATGTTCTATTAAAAAGTATCAAATACACTTTTTTGTTCTCGAAGTTTGAGTCTCTAAAATTTGAAAAATAATTCTATGATGTGGTAGCTAACTTTGCCAAACTAAATTTACTAATATAGACCTTTTAATGAGTTGGTAATTTATTAATTTTTTTTTTAAGAAGCCTATCTCCTCCTCTTTATATTCTTTTATCCTTCTTCCTCATCTGGTGAGTGCTAGTCGACATTGGCCTCTTTTCTAGTCACGCCCCTTCCTACCGATGTTTCCTCCTTCGACAAACCTCCTACTTGTCGTTGTGCTTAGGAAGCTCCCTCATTCCACACATATGTACTTCTATACCCTCATAACTAAAGTATTCCTTTTGAACTTCTAGGAATCAAATAAACTCCTAATTCAAACCTTATGGACAAAAAGTGTATTTTGCATTAAAATATATGTTTGGAATTTTTAAAATTTAGTCCTTAATGYTTTAACATTTTTCAATTATTCCCTTCTTGTCGTTGGATGCTGAAATTGATTGATTATAAACTTACATAATATAGGGTCTAGTAATTTATTAGAAAGTCATAGGAGGAGACGAGCCATCAATGAGATAAAAAAAATTTAATTCTTCACCTAAATTTCTAAAAAGTGTTAGAAATTTCGATTTCCATTTTGTTAGGTACTCGAATTTCTCACCTAGATTTTTGTCGACTATACCGTATAAACTTATAAATAACTCATTTTAACATGTATTTTATAATTAAAAAAGTATTAGAACATTAGGGACAAAATTAAAAAAAAAACATTAAACATCTGGCACTACAGGGAAAGAATACATAAAATATTAATGCAAGACATATATTTATCTGGACTTCAAATATATACTGAACTTTTCTACCACAYGACCTTTAAATAAAATCTTCGTAATTTTACATTTTTATTTCAGTCCAAAGACCTCGGACAAATAATATACACATGATATTTTTGTCAACCCAAAGTGGAGCTTTAGTCAAATTCTCAACCACTATTGCAATTACTAATATAATATTTTATATGTAAAGTACAACAACTGAATTATAAATTTTTAAAATTGAGGGTCCAATTCGAAAATAAAATAATAAAACGATAAAAATGTAAAAAGTAAAATAGAATTAAAAAATATATATTTTTATCTTATTATTATTATTATTAATCATTCAGTCCACAGAAAAATAAATAAAAACATAAAAGAAAAATAACATAATAATTTACAACTTTCGTCAACTGCAATACGGTCGGCCAAGATTGTGATTTTGAAAGATTTAACATTTTTTTTTGCCCTTATATTACCATTAATTCATTTTCTTTTAAAAGAAAAGTCAGAAAAACAAGATGATGTCGCTTTTGACATTTTGTGATCATTTTTATCCGTGCATTTTGCATAAAGAAAAGATATTTGGGGGAGGAAATTCTGAGGTCAGTTTTTATTCCACTTTAATTTATATGGTTTCATGTGATTTGAATATTGAAACTTTGAGACAAATAAAAATACTTTTTGCTAAATATTAGTCAAAATAACGAACGGTTAGTCCAATACGACACTTGAATATATTTTAAATATTATTCAAACATAGTTCAATGGTAATTGACATATATACAATATTTAACTATGTTTCAAATATTATTTGAACATAGTTCAATAGTAATTAATATATATCTCTAATCGAGAAGTTCTGAGTGATTCTCATATGTTGTACTAAAAAAAATATATTATTTATCTAGGTCAATATTTACCCTTCAAATAAAGGAATAAAATATATATATGTTGAACTTTTTTAAATCTAGTTCACAAAAACTAATGATATATACTAAAACAGAGTTTGAGAAAAAAAAATTAATTATTAACCTAAACATAGTAAAGTGTATCAATTTTTATCAACTTTTTTTTTAAGAACCCGTGAGTATCTGGACCAATAAACCACCTATGTTGGTTATCAATTTTCGATTTTATTAAGTTGAATCTCGATATGAAATAAGCGTTACAAATTTTACTTTAGATGCCAACATGAGTATAGATCAGTAAAAGTATCTCGAGATTGGCCATTAATCTTAATTATCTGTCCACTAATTTTAAAGAAAGTAACGAGAAACCTCTAGTTAATTTCATTAAAAATCAAGGTTGGTACAAAATCGACCATTGAATAACTGTCAAGACAAACAAACAAACAATGCTCGATTTGAAAAACCAATTGTAATATCGTTTTTCAAAGAAATCTCATCAATTTCATATCAAACATATATTTTATCATCCATTAAATACACACGAGGAATACTTCGTTTTAACCATTACTAAAGGAAAACTTATCAAGTTTAGGGTAAAAATTACCATACTTTTTCAATTTTAAATGTCTTACAACACTTGTCTAGTTTAAGATGTAATTTGTCTTGCAATTTTTTTTTTTTTTTCCTGAAGACTAAAATACTTAATTAATATTAATTTAAAAAGAAAAAAAAAAGCCGGTTTTGTCGATTTATTATTGGGGTTGTGTGTAAAGAGGGTATTGCCAAAATTTGGAAAAGAGAGACCGACAGTGAATCAATTATTAATCACTGAAAGAGAGGTGAAGTGCCTTTAAATAAATAAAAGTGGAGTGGGCCATTCATGATTCATCTTCCTTTAATCACTATTATTACTCTCTCACTTTCACCATCCTCTTCCATTACTSAAATCTATTTTTTAAAAAATCTATACCGTGTTGATATTAAATTTTCAAGTCGAGTAGAATAGAACAAGTCATGTGAGAAGGTTTGTACATAATAAACAAATACTCTGATGCTTGAATTAATTTAAAACTTGAATTAATAAGTCGATTCTAGACAGAATCACCTATACTAAAAGTGAGTACATATTTATAAGAGTCGTAGAAGAGACTGTTTGTTACATCCCATTGTCGAATTTGTTATACAATTGTATGAGTTCGTCCTTAACATTCAAATATTTAATGCATTTATTTGTAGTAGTTAAAAATTAATGCAAGAAGAAGAAAAACTAGTTCCCATCGGTACAAAACTAGGAGACAGTTTTTTCAAATTCTCACTTTGAAAAAAAATATGTATAATCTTATCCCCTCACGAGAAGTTATCTACTTTGAAAGTGTTAATTTATGAAACAAAACTCATCTCCAATTGATGTTGAAATTTCCCACCCCTCCTCGGTTGGAAAAAAAATATGAAATTACACATAGAATGATAATGTATAGCTAGGGAAAACAAACCAATTACTATAATTTCAGTTGAAATGTTTTTTTGTTTTTTTCTTATTTTTTATTCTTAATTTGTGAGAAATATAATAAGTGTTTGGTAACTCCTCGTATTTCTTATTTTTCATTTTAAGAAACGTAAATTTTGTTTACAGTAAAATCAAGGATCCGTTTGCTAACATTATCGTTTTTTTCTTGTTTTTTTAATAAAAAATATATAATTATATTTGGTAACTATTTTTTACACTTGAAAAAGTTGCTTCCAAGCTCGGTGAATCACTTGAACCCTAATACATTTTTGGTGCTATGGAGCTAGACCAATGATCTAATACGTTTTTTTTTTGTTTTTTCAAAGGAGGGTGGCTTCCATGCCCGCCTTTTGGTTGTCATCGTTGGATCAGTTTCTTTTCCAGTAAGTGATTGCTTGGCTTTTTTTTAATTTTTTTTATTGAAAAAAATAAGTAAAGTCCATTATGTTGGAAACATAAACTAGTAATAAGAAACTTGTTTTTCTTATTTCCAAAATTTATATACAATTCTAACAACGTTTCAAAAAATAATATACATATATATATATATATATATATATATCTGTTAAATGTTTAAGTTTATCAATAAAATTAAAAGCAATAAATGAGAACGTTCTTATTTCTTATTCATAATTCCAACCTTTTTTAAATACAAGTAAAATTTTTATCTATAATTCTTAACTTATAAAATTCATAATAAATATTAAACAATAAATATGACATATATTTTTAATATTTTATATAAAAGATTAAAGGCTAGAGAAATGCATTCTTTTTTCTAATACAACAAATTAGAAAAATGAGAATTTGAACCTCCAACTTTAAAAATAGATGTCAACCACAGCCAATCATGTTGACATAGAAAAATACATTTCTATTTTTATTTAACGGAAACAAAAAATAGAAATCGAAATAAAAAACATTATGAATGGTCCTCAAATTTCAAATATGACAACTAAAGGTTGACCCAGMCAAATTTTCTATCATTCTAAACCTAAACCTACATATATATCCCAAAATAGACTTAGTATTATATGGTAACTCCTTGCTAAAATCTGATGTTAGTGCAAGATTCGAGGATAGGAATCCGTGATTCAACAACTTGGGTTTATAATTACAATTTCGTAATTTGGCTATATCTTTATATATATAGTTTGCTTCTAGCTTAATAGGTGACATATTCGGAAAAAAAAAACAAAATAAAGCTTAATAGGTGACATGCCAAAATAAATAACTAAGGCTAAACATTTTTAGTTACATTTTCTCTAAGTACGTTTACAAATTATATCAATTTAATCTTTCCTTTAAAAGACTTCACAATATTCTTTTMATGGAGTGTTTTAAAGGTATGATAAATACACAATTCATTGTCCTAAAAGACGTTGAATACACTCTTTACCGTTATATTTTTAGATATGTAATTTTAAAATTTTAGATATTAAAATATCTTATTTAGAAGTAATCCARGTCTAAAATATGACTGATTAATGGAACAAATACAACAAATGAGGTAATATCAAAAATACAAATACTCTCAAGCATCTTGAAGAGATTCTAATAATTGAAAATTATTGCTAATTAATCACCCTACTCTAACATCCTCAATTAATGACAAAATACCAAACATCTTGATTTTTTATTTTAGTTATTTATTTATTTATTTATTTTGAGGAGAACCAAACGTCTTGAATATATGATATTTATTCGGGAAAAAAATAAAAGAAAAACATCCTAAATAACTTTGTAGCCAATAATTGGTGGGAACCTTAAGGAATGATGTGGCCCTCTTATTCGTCATCTACGTTTCTACCAAATAAATATTATTTAATGTGGCTATCATTTCTGTACTAACGAAAACAAATATATATATATATATATATATATTATGTATTTATTGGTAGATTATGAATGTTTATTCTTAAGAAAAAAAAAAGTTTATGTATTTGTATATTGATTGGCATGGATTCATTTATGAAGGGAGGCACGTAGGGCAACAGCTAGCCGGCAACACAGTGAATAGGATGCCCAGCCGAGGGGCAAGTTCCATTGCCTTTGAATGCAGCCACGTCTATTTTCAATAATTGGAAGCATATATTGTATTTTATATACCAGAAGAAACAAAATTATTTATTGGTTTATGAATGAGCCTTGGAATATTGAAAACTTTAATTAATCAAAATTAACAAGTTTTAGAGAGAGGTTTGAAGTGAACTTAGATGGGCATTAAAAGCCTAGTAGTAGGAAATTAAATGGGGCAGTTGCCACTTTTGCAGGGGTTGGCCCACTGTCCTAAAAGTTCAGAAAAAGCCAATAAACCCATGATTTCAGGGYTCCTAGGGATTAACACATATATCTTCAAACAAAATTAAGAATCGAAGTGTCAACATTTGAAGCCAAATATCTTAAGGTCAACTTCCAATTTTGCTGATGCTATATTTTTTGAGTTTCTAAACAACTTACTAATAGAATAGTTGGTGATTGGACCTGCCAACACAGGGTTGATTAATGTTGTCCAACGAAACAAAATTGTGGAACTCAATGAAACATGGGTTCTCTACAAATATTTTTTTACATCATTTTAATAGTCTTTTATCTATTATTTAAGCTGTCTCTTTTCCCTAGCATTTACCAGGGGGTAAAAGAAAATATTTATATCTTATCAGAGTTGTTGGACTTTTATTTTTAACATTCTATTTCAAATTTTGAACTTTCTAAATATTTGGTATCAAACCTAATACATATGACTGAATTACCAATCAAACATGGTATAAGGCTGAGGAATAAAAGACAGAGAGTTAGGTTTAAACACAAAGGGAAAGCCCCACCAAATTCTGGTGAACTTAATGAAGATTTAAACAATCATACACCGCAGTAACAAAAATCATACTGTTGAATGATAAAATTGCAAGGTAGAAGATTTTCATTTTCATAAATCATTTATGCAACTTGTTCTAAGTTGGGTCCACCAAGCATTAGGAGGACCAATAAATGCAGGCAGCAGATGCAGAAAAAAGGACCTCACGTGTGGTTCAAGCTAAAGTTTGGCACAAGTACAACAACCTATCTAGATGAGAAATAAGATTGCCCAAGTCTTGAACACTGAAGGCACATTTTGGTCAGAAATGGCACTGGAAAAGGAGCCAGAAAAAAAAGGAAAACTTAATAGTGCAAAGCTATAAATGGGAACAGTGGTTTCAATGGTGTTAGTTTCTGTGTCAACATCCTGCAATAATTCAATGACGACTCCAAGGAAAGATATGTAAAAATGAGCCGAGAGAGGAATCCGTGTCTGCAACCAAACTACCCCACCTCATAGACTCAGTTGCTTTGACTTGTTCGTTGGATGACAGCCGGACGGCTGAACAACCGCTCCAATTCAAATCAAAATTTGTCCACATCTCCTAACTTCTAAATCAACTGCTTACAATATAGAAAAGAACAGACAAAAATAGAGTTTTGACCCTGCCAGCTAAAGCTTGTGCCCAAAATATTGAACTTTTCAGTTTTCTTTTCACCTCTACATCTAAGGCCGATCTATCTAATCTTGATGAGTTGTTGACGGCCAGCCCAAAAATTTTGAAGGGTGGGCTTTTGCAGTTGTTCACGCATGGACCCAATTTGCCAGTCGTGTGAAATTGGCATCTAGTGGGTTGCATCTTCACAGTGACAACAAGATCCAGAAAATACAAACACTACCAAACATATACTTCTATTCTGGAGGTACGGTTTATTGCCCGTATAAGCCAGTGATTGAATTGAACCAGAGAAAAGAAAAGGATTCAAATAAGTGCCTTTCAAGCATCAAATCACAATATGTAGCTACTAGCATCTAACTTAGGTTCCCCCTTGAATCCTAATTTTGGAAAATCTGTCCCCTGATTAACCTAAAATTGCGAGGTGACTGTTAAAGCAAACCCCTAAAGACTTGAATTTACTATATGGAATGCTCGGCATTAAGAATGTGTTTGGGATATAGTTTTCGAGACAGTATTTTCAGATGATAAAATTTTCCAACAATTGCGTTTAGGAAATATACATATAAAAGATAGAAGCACCTATAAGATATAAGAATACAAATGGCTCATTGGTGTTGCATGGTGTCCCAAATAGGATGAATAGTGAATTCTACGCTGCGATCAAAGTTCTAATGAGCAGAAAAGAATAGTCTTATTGAAAAACGTTCCTTTTCTTTTTTCTGAACTCAGAGAATGCACCAAACTTCCAGCATGTTAACAAGGCCATGGTAAAAATCAAATTGCTGTAGTTTGCTTTCTAGTCTTAGCTGCACATTAGTTTAACAAATGAGGAATAAAATCCCAAAATCAATATATAATGGTCTACCAACTGATCTTCCTCCACTTTTTTTCAGCAGAATATCTGTTCCTGATGGGTGAAAAAAATCTGATTTCAAGAGAACAAAAACTATACTTAATAAAACATTGCTGAGGAAAACAACTAAGAAATTGATACATGGTGCACCCGTTTGCAACTTGACATGTGGAGTGGAGAAAAGCCATGACCGTGAAGATATATTTTTAAGATTACCATTCTTGACGTGTATAGACCACTGGCGAAGCGCACATAAGTTCATTAGTTTCCCATGGCCGCCASTGGCCCACTTGGCAACAGCAACTGTATCATATCAACAGAATTAGATGGGTTTTTGGCCGGAATGGCCAAAAGAAAAAAAAAAAAGTTTTCAGTAAATCAGTTATATAATGACGCAGTCTACAGAAGCAAAAATTTGGAAATCCTTGTTAGGAAAATGGATCCGCACATTTACCAGATAGTCTCCTCTTCATTAACGGTATTATATCCTCATTTGCCTTCCAGCACAGCAAAAGGAACTCCTATCCGGGCATAAAGACCAAAGACATTCACCCTTCACAGCACAAAGAAACTGCTGCCCATTGATGCAGAATGTGCCAAGACCTCAAGAGGCATTACAAAACAACACAAGTTACTGCATAACTCATAAGATATGATGTACAAAATAATTGGATAGATTTCCAAGTAATAATTGCCATGTTATGTTAGTTGCATCAATCATGTGCAATTAAATTCAAGCCAATAATGGATTTTCTCTTATTCACTGATGCCTGTGATGCCTGCTCACAGGTAAATTAAATTAACTTTAATCTGATCCAAGCAAATATGAACTTTTTAACTACCATGGGCTAGTCTGGWGGTAAATAAATGCCAATGAAAGAAGAATAAAGGATTGCGAAGGGTTTCAAGCCATTGTGGCTACCGACCTACGATTTAATATCCTACGAATTTCTTCCTTTTGTGGGACTAGTTTTTTTAGATGACATTGTATTTTCTTTCATGTTTTCCAATGAAAGTTTGGTTTTTCATTAAAAAAATAATAATAAATATATATATATATATATATATATATATATATATCCAATAAGTTTATTTGACATTCAAATATAGTAGGGTCAGGTTGTTGTTTTGTAAGATTAATCAACATGCATACAAGTTGGCCCGAATCCAATGAATATCAAAAAACAAAACAAAGAAAACAACTTTTTATGTCAAAAATTAGACCCTTTAGTGACCACATTACTTCGATAATAGAACTCTACTAGATAGACAACATGCTCTGGTAAAAATATTGTTGAGGAAAAACCTGGTAGATCTTTGTTCAATGAGGAGATTGTTAAGTTTGTGACAAAAAGTGGTCAACACATCAGTTATACGCAATGAAATTTGTGGTTGAGTTTTATTGATAGGTGGTATGCACATGAACATAAAATTTTACTCGCATAAAAGCAAACTCTCAGTGTGGTAGGTAGTGGATGAATAAATGACTATCTAAGTAAGTACTCTTCTAACAGTGCCTCGTTCTAAAAATTGTGGAAAGTGTTCAAAATAATAGTTATGCAGCAACGAGCATCTGATTTTGAATAACCACATTGGCCAGATACCATTTTCTTAGAACCTAGAGTTCAAACAGTTACATCTCTTAAAGACTTTTTGAGGCTCGATTTGAAACATTGAATCTTATATCTGACAATTCTAGACGTTTTGGGGGATCTAGATGAGAGAGATATTCAATGTTTCTGCTGCCTCAAGTTGTGACTAGCTGTGAAATCGATTTTTGTTTTGACATATGATAATGATATTCATCGTTGTTCAGTCTGTTATCAAGGTTGGACACCTTTTCTGCATGAATAATCACAATTTGATTTGGTAACATACCAAATATACTGGTATTTAAAAGAACTGCCTGAATACTATAACACAGGAATCCCTTTGGCCGGTCCCATCAATCTTGGGTAGTGTTAATACATATAGTTGAAGTTGTTTAAATGATCAATTATGTCTAGCCCGAAGTTACTGAAAACCAAAAAGAAAAAAGGAAAAAGAGTTCCCAACAAGTAGAATTCGATTAACCAAAACTCATCCAAAAAGTACCTCCTATTAACTACTTACCAGACAAGTTAAAAGAAAGTTGATCACATATCTCCCGAACTTTATAACGATGTAAACTTAAATCTAAAAAAATGTGATGCATCTGAAATAAATAAGAGCGTATTAACAACTTACCTGTTCCCTCATCCACCATTTGGTTCGCATATTATTCCTCTTTTACAGAGGGAGTTCATCTCTCTCAGATAAAACAGCAAGCTATCTGTCTTTAATTTCCATTGAGCAGTTCATCTCAAGAGTGGATTCCTGGATTTAAACGCACCAACAATAAAGTTCTTGCTCGCTCCATGAAATTTTACGCCGTAATTGTAACTGCCGTGGGATTCGTAAACCAAATGACATTGCATTTTATTAGGCTCATGATTTTCCACTTTATCCATGAACTGCAAAAGTAGATATGTAAAGATATCAGTGATGGCTCGATTGACAAGACACATTTGATTTAAGCTATCCATGTGATTTCGATTTCCTCCACTCACTTTACCTTCAAAATAAAATTAATCGTTCTACCCTTTGCTTGCCCTGTTTCCGAAACTCGCCTTCCGGTCATATGCATCATTATTAATTTAACYAGCCACAGCTTCCGGGGAATGTGTATGTTTCTGCGCCATGATTTTAGATAAATTATGATAATCCACTTTCCTAGAGACAAATTTTGACCATATCCTATAAACTCTCCCTTCAAGTAAATGGATAGTTTAAGTAAAACAAACTGTAGGAATGAAAATGGGGCGATGAACGAATACGAACCTCGTAAGAGTACATGAATCCTTCTTCGGACCGAACTGAACTGAACTGTTTATTGTCCCCTCCAACTCTTCTTTTTTGCTTCTTTTCGAGCATGGTATTGACGTATCGGAGATGGAGAACGAGCATACATGGAACTTAGTCGTCGAATTCGAACAGTTCCCTCGAGAAGATGAAGCACGGAGGCTCGAAAAAAGTTTACCTCTCCCAGTTATTTGGCGACTGGCGCAGCACAGAAACACAGCACCAAATCTTGTCATTGTTTATTTAAAAAAGCCCTTGCTTTCACAATAGATAATGAGAGACCCCAATTCCTGCAATTTTGTTATATATTTCTTACTTCTTTTTTGTAATATGTTAAATCGGGTCATTTTCTTTTCCTAGTACATTGCTCCTTTTTTTTAGGTAGAACACGATATTTTCTTTTTTTAGTATACCATGTGGGGTGAACATTCGAACTYAGATACATATCGGTTTCAATTATCACCGAATTATGCTCGTTTTGGAACATATCGTAAATTAGAATATTGTATTGTTCATGCTTACATGCAARTTTTTAAGATGAGAACCATGATAATTTGACAAGGTATCTTTCATTTTGTATAACTACGCAATTGCATCACATATTTTAAAGTTATGTGATAAAACACTGGTCAATTATATAATGTGTTAATTTAATAGCAACTACAATTAAGTTGTATGTTGTTTTGTTGAATATTTTTTTCCCCTTATTTCAATGCTGGCAGACTTGGTTAACACATTCATCAAGCCGTGTCTCAAAAAAGAACCTCCACCACTTGAGTTACCATGTCAAAATGTTTGAAAATTCAATATTTGTGGACACAATAAAATAGCATTATTTACATTTCAACACGACATACTAATCGTCATTAATATGAAATAGACGTAATTTACAGAATAATAAAAAAGATACGTCAGCATAATTATAAATATACTTATCCTAACCAAACAAAATTGTTAACCTAACTCTTGTGTATTTTGCTTCCAATACATGTAAATAGATTGATAATAAATTTCGATCAATTGATTAAAATAATTTAATGAATGAATTTTCATTGTCATCAAATTAATATTTATTATTTTGATCATAGTTTTTATAGTAAAATATCAATATCTCATGCCAAACCGAGCATAGTTCGAGTGGTTAAGACACATATCTCTGATTAATAGGTCATGAAAACATAACTCAACTGGTTAATATATTATTTACCTTTTCTAGAATTAAACGTTAAAATTACCTCACTTATATCAACTATTTATAATATAACATAAAAAAGGTAGCTTATCCCATATAGATCTAAGTTAATATTTTTTAATGCCAAAAAATGCAATTGCTCCAAATTGGCTTATTTGTGGATTTCCCAAAATAGAGGACGGGAGACTTTCTAGTGGAATTTTTTGATTATCAATACATCTTATTTCCTCTTCTTCTTGTTATTATCTTTTGAATGCGAATTTGATGGTAATTAAAATTTGTTACCGTGAAAAACACAGGAGAAAATGTTCGGTTATTAAAAAGGTTAAAAGGCAGGTGTCTTTGCGAATTACCACGTCAAGGTAAGTTACGTGGTTAATTACGAATTAAGACTGGCAGCGCCAACTGGCCCCGTTATCTGCAAGAGAAGAGAGGAGAAACTTCTCCGGCCTCCGCACAGAAGCCAGGACGACAGCGCGTAGATTCGTGTGATACACTCGCCCATTCCACAACGGCCCCCACCCGCTACTGGCGATTGAGCCTCACGCGCGCCATCGCAAAGACTGTTATCAACAACTCCCCGTCGTTTTACGGTTTATTCCATCCCACCGCCACCACGATCAGAAAAACCGTTGAAAGCCGCCAACTTCCCAGTGCACGACCACGCGCTTCGTGAGGTCGGTACCTTACACGATGGTTCGGGTTGGCATGACGTGGCGGTCCTGACTAGGCATTGGGCAAGGAGAAGTAGAAAACGGAGGGTCAAAATTGCGAAAAGACACGAACAAGAGGCGAAAGTTCCATTCTGAAGAGCGCTTTCTCTGCGTTTCACCGGAGCGATTGCATTGCACCACCGGAATCAGGCGGAGGCGGGTTGATTGCGCGGGGGAGAGGGGTTGTTGTGGATTGTCTTTCTTGAACCGACTCGGTGAGTCCGGATCGGGAGACCTCGGGAGCGAGGAAATGAGTGGATGGGATAGGGTTAGACCATCTAGTTCGAGATTTGGGCGCGGAAACTCAGCAATGCAGGAGAGGACCACCTCTACTACTACGGTTCGGCTCGGGCGAGTCCAGCCGCAGGCCCCAGGATATCGTACCATCTTCTGCAATGATCGCGAGGCCAATTTCATTGTCAAATTCAAGGTATGATTTGTTGATTTATTTTAGTGTTTTAATGTTTTGGTTTTTGACGTATAGATACAAGGCGGACTTTGATTTGTTTTGTTGGAACTCCCGGAACTTGGCTTTGGTCCATCTGTGGAGGGAAACAAGAAAGTTTCATGAGCGAATATTTTGTTGCTCGATTTTTCTTCAGCCAAGATTGTCTAGTCTATGCGCTCATTGGCATGTCTAATTCCAAAGTTTCTCTCCCACGACTTACTTTGTTTGTCCACCTTTTGGTTCAATGTATAGAAACTTGTTTTCATCTTTGTTCTGTAAATTTGAATGGCTGCCAATTTGATATTGTTTACAGGGGAATTCTGTTTCAACGACTAAGTACAACTTCTTCACTTTCTTTCCGAAAGGGCTGTTCGAACAAGTAAGTAATTTTAAGCGTCCCAAGTCTATTTACTGTTTTGTTACTTGGTTGCCTGGATAGGCTTTTTTGTCAAATTAGAAGTGGCGAATGATTGAACTTAGAAGAAGTTTATTCAAAAGTCGTTGCGGATGTCAAGTAGTTGATGTATAAGAAGCACTAGTATTTTACCGTCGCAAACTGGCGTGGCAGTTACTTATCATACCCATTGTTCCGATAATATGGTGCCATGGAAACGATAGATTTAATATTTTATCGCTTTGAGGAACGTTTTATCGCTATTAGGAACTTGAGGATTTACAGGGGAATGGGAAACCATGCTCCTTAAAGAATTTCTTCTGTAATTATCTTTAGGAATAGGAATATCTTGGAAAGTTAGGTTCATACTATGTTAGTTTTGTTTTTGTGAGTTCAAATGATGGGATTGGACTGTTGGTATTAATTACTGGTTGTATTTTTGTACTACTATCTATTAGTCAATTCATTGTCGAGATCACATTAACACTGTTGGTAAAAACCCTAGAATAAGTGTTAACGTTGTATCTGCAATTTTTGAAGTTTTAACTGTTTCTTTAAATTTATTTTTACGAGAAAGCAAAATTGTATTACCCCAAAAGAACTCAAGAAAAGGATGGGAAGATAAACATCTTTCAAACCTAGGCTGAAGGAGTTACAAAAAACCACTCCAATTGGCATTATTTGAAAATTTTAAAAGTTACAAGACAACTGTTTCTTTCATTATCCTTGCTTCATTGTTGTTTCTGCTTGTTACAACTTTTGATTCTGCTATCATTATCACCTTTTTAAACATTACATGTCTAAGAAAGTTCTGTATTTTTTTCACTGACAGTTCAGGCGTGTGGCTAACCTATACTTTCTTACCATCTCAATCTTATCCACCACACCTATCAGGTTAGTTAATAGATGGAGAGGCGTGTTCGCATTTGGTAGCATCCCCCAGTTACCCTACACATTGTTTTTTAATAATTGTTTGATATGTAGAAGACGTTATGTTGGTTGTTTTGGCTTATCGTTATTGTTATCAATATTTTTCTGGAGTTGACATAAAAAGATATTATTGCAGTTAAAATTTTTTTATTACTAAATGGGACACCATGGGGACTCATGAGATCCGTATTGGGTGATTTAGTATTTTAGCGCATGTGGTAAGTTCCATAAAAATCATAGCTACTTGAAATGGAATTCAGATTTGTTGCAGTAGGATTTTGACAAATTAGTTGATTGTCAGTTTGCTTGAGAGGAAACAAACGGTCTGTTAGCAGATTGTCAAAAGGCGGGCTATGGTTTTTCCCTAGGACAATAAAGAACTTACTTTACCTTGTTTTTGCATTTAATTCTTTTTACAGCTTGTTTCATGATCAGAAAATTTGAAATGTTGCTTTAAAATTTTATAATGCATCTACTTGTCCATTTTTTTAATCATTTGATTTTTATTTTGTTTGAGACTTATGGTTATGGTATTAAATTGGGTTTGAGCAACTGAATATTAGTTAATGATTAGCTTTTTAATTATTTGTTTTAATTATTATTCCTCATGCAGTCCTGTGCATCCAATTACAAACGTGGTCCCTTTAACTCTGGTTTTACTTGTCTCTCTCATTAAAGAAGCATTTGAGGACTGGGTGAGTGCCATACTGTATGGTTGCCTTTCAATTATTTTGACTCGGACGTTGAAATTTTTACGAAACAGCCTCTATGTATTATATATATAAGGTGCTTTGAATGCATAACTTCTTTATTTATGTCATAACATTTAATCACGTCATGCAGAAGCGATTCCAGAACGATATGGCAATTAATAATAATACTGTAGATCTGCTGCAAGATCAAAAGTGGGAGAGCGTTCCTTGGAAAAGGTTGCAGGTTGGGGACATCGTTAGGGTGAGTGCTATTTTATTTTATGGCTTTTATCAACGTTTTTTTTTTCCTATCTAGAACTTGAATATTTGACAATAAAAACCCTATTATTTGAAGAACAGGATTGTCATCGGATAGGAGTTTGTTGCCCTCCTTTATCATTTGGACTATGATATTTCATTTTATGTTATATGTAATTTCTTTGTTACATATTGCTATATTGTGACTAGGTTTTAAAATGTAGTGTTTTCTTCTTCAAAATATTTTTGACAATGATCTCTCACTCTGTCTCTCCTACCGTCCTCGTTCTCTTTCTCCCCTTCACATGTTGTATGGTCGTGAGGTACGGTGGAAGGGGTAGGACTATGTAAAGGCTAGAGCGATTGGTTCTCTCTTTTTTTTTTTTTCCCTTTCTTTCTTGCTGAGAATATATTACATAGATATAGGATGAGAATTTGAATCTACAAGACTATAATTCCTTTGTGGAAGTATAAGTGGCTTATTCACTGAACTTTGGTCATGTTGGCAGGAGTTATGCTAGGTTGACTGAATATGGGCGATAGCTTCTTTGCTCTCTATAGATTTTGACAAAAATCTTATTGAAGAAAAGTTTTAATGAAAACCAAGGTTTTATTAAGACAAGTG